CCCCCCCCCCTACCTTGTATAACTTTTGACTCCCCCAAAACTTACCATTTAGCTATTTCTTAAGTATGTCTTGCACTTTCCCCCGGGTTGTGGCTGCACTGCACTGTGTGCTGCAGGCTCTGCAGGGGTATTGTGTTGTTACTTAAGTAGTAGTTAGCTACTTAACTACTAATGCCTGCTGTTAGGTAGGCTGCTTAACTGTTTGGTTACGTATGTCATGCATTCATGACATACGTAACCAAATATCTTCCAATATATTTAATGAAAAATAATTTGCATATAAGTGGACCCACACAGTTCAAACCTGTGTTGTTCAAGGGTCAACTGTGGTTTAAAGATCCTTGATGTATGTTAGGCAAGTAGGCAAGCCTTCCTCTTGTTCTTCAAAAGACTTCAGCCATTGTTTGACATTTGTTGTTCCTATTAGGTTTAGAGAAGTAGTTTTCTTTACTCTTAAAAAGTCTTTTTTGGGGGTTTATGGAATTTTTAAAAAATATCACTTGGGAGAGGTGGCAGGTTGGTGACATTGAGTTTGTTCTGAGAACATATGTCATCTTTCTACTTAGTTTTTCTGCCTTGACATTACCAATAAAATTTTTTCCATTAGTATTGTTAATTATCTTTCTTTAGTCTTATTTAGTAGTTATATTTGGTCTGGAGGAAAGTAGGTGCAAGCTTCCAAATGTTATGTCTTAATGTAATCACATAGAATGGGCTCAATTCCCCAAACAACAAGTTGTGGCATCATCTCAGTAGAGACCCATTGCTCAGAGTGCTTTTTGGGGGCTGATCAAGTAGGTACCCTCTGCCTAGCATGTAAAAAAGTACAGATTCTCAGAAGGAAAACAGGAGTTCAATAAATATTCTATCATTTGCATAAACAGTTTAGGTACACTGAACTACTCTTATCACTTAGGTTGGTGGGGTCCCTCCCCGATTCTCACTTCCCAGACATTAGCAAAACACAAATTTTGTGAGCAGGCATTTCTAAGAATAAGCAGTCTCAGGCCTGTTAATGTTAACTCCCTTCTGCACACTGGAGAGTAGAACTTTGAGCAAGTGCTATGGATCCACACTGTACAAGGAGTGATCAGGGCTGACACAAGCAGTTCATTTTATTCCCTGGACCCGCCAACAAGAGGGATGTGGGTATTCTGTTGTTGTTTTACCAAATACTTAAATTCTAGTATCAGAATTGCTGTTTGGGAGCACATGGATGTCAATTGATTAATAATCTTTTTCGGAGACCAGTGTTTCAGGGAATTATGCAGCTGAGGGATCCTATGCTCAGGTGTTGGGTTCTCATGCTACTGTGCACCTCATGGGAGCTCAAAATGAGAGATGTTGGGAGAACAGCCTCTGGAATGCCTAGTCAGGAATCACTTTCTCTTGAAATTGAAAAAGAGGATTTCATATCCTTTTGGAGGACAGCACTGCTGAACCCATTATATATTTTATAATCATTGGAAATTCGCCATCAAACATTGTGGACTTTAGTGAACTCCTTTGCAAATTATAACTCTTAACCTGTTCCTCAAGGTCAGCAAGGCTTGGGGTACACCATTATGGTTCTGAGGGAAAGATCTGTTCTAGCATCTGATCATCTCAGTCCCACGTGTGCTGAAAATTGGTGGGAAGCAGCCCTGAGGCTCATGATTACAGGGATTTTGTGGAGGTCTAAGCTACCATGCCTCCTTCCTTGTGCCTTTGCTCTAACTTCTCAGTAACCTTCTAGTCCCATCAAATGAGATAGAGAGAAAAAGGAAAAACTGAGTCTGTGATAAATGTTACACATACAAGTTAAAATGAGCACTTCTCTAAAAGAATACTTTCATTTAGCTAATCGGATCTATTACTAATGACCTGTAGTACTCAGGACAACATGGCCAGCAAGATGTTACAAGTTGGATTTCCACAGGCCTCCTGGCCTCACATGTGTAATCATGGGAATAGCAGAAAAAGCTATGGCTGTTCAGTATGTATTCATTCATTAAAACCTTATACAGATTCAACCCTGTATTTCATGGAATGCTGAGTACTATGGTGTATAATAAGGTAGGAGATGAAGGAGTTTTTCTCGCAAGTAATTGTTGACCTTAAAATGGAAGTATTTGTTTCATTTATATAGAATTTCTCTAAAGTGTAGTGTACCTATCATTGGAGACAAATAAGACTTGAAGCAATTATTATAAAAATATAAAAATAATTTCCATGCGATGGAGTTTGAATGTCCTTTATATAGAATTTCTCTAAAGTGTAGTGTACCTATCATTGGAGACAAATAAGACTTGAAGCGATTATTATAAAAATATAAAAATAATTTCCATGCGATGGAGTTTGAATGTCCTGTCCCCTCCAAAACTCGTGGAAATTTGATCTCCAATGTGGCAGTGTTGGAAACTGATTGAGTCGTGTGGGTGGATCCCTCATGAATGGATTAATGCTCTCCCTGGGGGAGGATGAGTAGAAGCAGCCTGAGGCCCATGCCAGATGCAGCTGTCCCAGAATCGTAAGCCAAATAAACCTCTTTCCTTTATAAATTACCCAGTCTCAGGTATTTCTGTTATAGCAACACAAAGTGGACTAAAACACCATGTATTCATGGTAGTGTCAAATTTATGAAGTGAGTGTGGACAGAGAGTACGAGTTCTGACAACCAAGTTATAGAATATGTTTAGAGACCACACAATCATATGTGAACCTCCTCATGAATTTAGTACAGATCCCCAGTGCTATCAGTCTCACCCATCTTCCTTTACTCATATGTGGGATGTTTTAGGACTTGGTGGCCTTTGAGGATGTGGCGGTGAACTTCACCCAAGAGGAGTGGGCTTTGTTGGATCCTTCTCAGAAGAAACTCTACAGAGATGTGATGCAGGAAACCTTCATTAACTTGGCCTCTGTAGGTAAGAATGAAATTGTTCCTTCACTTAGTCAATTAGAGAGCAAGTGTTTTTTGTTCATCAGTGAGGTTACAGATTTGGAATATGGAAAGGAAATACTTTGGTAAGTAAAGCTGGCTGGGTACCAAGCTCATCCTGGACCTATAACCTAATTATAATTTCTAATAATTTTTCTGGGTTTACATTTTAGGGAAAAAATGGGAAAACCAGAACGTTGAAGATGAGTACAAACAGCAGGAAAGAAACCTAAGGTGAGTCGTACTCACAAAAGAGAGTAGTGTCCCATGAGGGAATCTTAGTACATCATTAAATTATAAAAACAAGTGAACAAAACATATGTGCCCAGTTTCATATTTATTTGTTTTTAGAAAATTTTCACCAAGAATGTTTTCCTAAAAGTGACATAGATGTTCAATATTTGAAAAGTAGTTCAACTGGAAACAATGTTAAGAACCTCCATACGAGTTGAGCATTCCTAATACAAAAATCCAAAACTTCTTGAGTGCTGACATGAGGCCACAGGTGGAAAATTCCACACCTTACCTTATATTACACATCACCATCAAAACATAGGTGCAAGGGCTGGCCCGTGGCTCACTCGGGAGAGTGTGGTGCTGATAACACCAAGGCCACAGGTTTGGATCACTATGTAGGGATGCCCAATTAGCTCCCTTGGGAGAACATGGTGCTGACAACACCAAGTCAAGGGTTAAGATCCCCTTACCAGTAATCTTTAAAAAAAAAAAATAGGTGCACAACACAGTTTATTCAGTCTGCTTTTAACAGCAATTACAGGTATTCTGGTGATGCTTCTGTGCTACTTAGTTATCCTGAATACATTATTTTATCACCGTATTAATGGTATGTCATATTTTTTACTGTTAAGTACTTATATGTGAATAAGCATAAGAAAATGATTGCTTTTTCTTTTTCTTTTTTTTTAAAGATGACCGGTAAGGGGATCTTAACCCTTGACTTGGTGTTGTCAGCACCAAGCTCACTGAAGTGAGCTAACTAGCCATCCCTATATAGGGATCCGAACCCGTGGCCTTGGTGTTATCAGCAGCACACTCTCCCAAGTGAGCCATGGGCCAGCCCTAAGAAAATGATAGCTTATTAGAAGCATATAAATTCACAGTTAGGAATGATGGTGATGCCAGTCACAGATTGTTCACATGAGTGGCTGAGATAGTGACACCTCTGCTTTCTGATGGTTCAATGTATACAAACTGTTTCATGTACAAAATTGTTAAAAATATTGTATAAAATTATCTTTAGTTTATGTGTATAAGGCATATATGAAACATAAATGAAATTTGTGTTTAGACTTTGGTCTCATCCCCAACATATCTCATTATGTATATGCAGATATTCCAAAATCTGAAAAAAAAAGTTGAAATTTGAAATACTTCTGGTACCAAGAATTTCAGATGGGGAATACTCAACCTGTATTATGATCTTTTTTTTTTTTGTCCTTTTTGAGACCGGCCACACTGCGCTTAGCCAGTGAGCGCTGCGAGCGCACCGGTCATCCCTATATGGGATCCAAACCCGCGGTGGGAGCGCTGCTGAGCTCCCAGCGCTGCACTCTCCCGAGTGTGCCACGGGCTCGGCCCCTCAACCTGTATTATGAATATCATTATTTTGATGATAACTATGGTGAAGTATTCTTCCAGAGCAATTATTACATACATGTTCTCTGAAAATGGCAAAAATCTAATTCTACTACCTATTAATGGTTGTTAAAATTTTAATAATTATTAGTCATTATAAAATAATAAAAAAGCCATTGATAATGTGACTCTCATTTTTTTACAGAAGTCATGTTGTAGAGAGACTCTGTGAAAGGAAAGAAGATAGTCAATTTGGAGAAAACTCCAGTCAGACACCAAATCTTAAACTGAACAAAAAAACTCTTACTGGAGTAAAACCATATGAATGCAGTGTGTGTGGAAGGGTCTATAAGTGTCATTCATCTCTTAAGAGGCACATGAAATCTCATATTGAAAATAAACCATTTGAGTATCACAAGTATGGGGAGAAGTCATATGAGTGTAAGGAATGTGGGAAAATGTTCAACTTTCGAAGTTCATTTCGAATACATGGAAGAACTCACACTGGAGAGAAACCCTATGAATGTAAACAGTGTGGTAAAGCTTTCAGCTGGCCCAGTTCCTTTCAAATACATGAAAGAACTCATACTGGAGAGAAACCCTATGAATGTAAGCAATGTGGGAAAGCTTTCATTTATCACACAACCTTCCGAGGACACATGAGAATGCACACAGGAGAGAAACCATATAAATGTAAAGAATGTGGAAAAACCTTCAGTCATCCCAGTTCATTTCGAAACCATGAAAGAACTCACTCTGGAGAGAAACCTTATGAATGTAAACAATGTGGAAAAACTTTCACATATTACCAAACTTTTCAAATACACGAAAGGACTCACACTGGAGAAAAACCTTATCAATGTAAGCAGTGTGGTAAAGCTCTCAGTTGTCTCACATCCTTTCGAAGTCATGAAAGAATTCACACTGGAGAAAAACCCTATAAATGTAAAAAATGTGGTAAAGCCTTTAGTTTTCCCAGTTCCTTTCGAAAACATGAAAGAATACATACTGGAGTGAAACCATATGATTGTAAGGAATGTGGGAAAGCATTCATTTCTCTTCCAAGCTTTCGAAGACACATGATCATGCACACTGGAAATGGACCATATAAATGTAAGGAATGTGGGAAGGCCTTTGATTGTCCCAGTTCATTTCAGATTCATGAAAGAACCCATACTGGAGAAAAACCCTATGAATGTAAACAATGTGGTAAAGCCTTTAGTTGTTCCAGTTCCTTTCGAATGCATGAAAGGACTCACACTGGAGAGAAACCCCATGAATGTAAACAATGTGGTAAAGCCTTCAGTTGTTCCAGTTCTGTTAGAATACACGAAAGGACTCACACTGGAGAGAAGCCCTATGAATGTAAACAGTGTGGTAAAGCCTTCAGTTGTTCCAGTTCATTTCGAATGCATGAGAGAATTCACACTGGGGAGAAACCTTATGAATGTAAACAGTGTGGTAAAGCCTTTAGTTTTTCCAGTTCCTTTCGGATGCATGAAAGAACCCACACTGGAGAAAAGCCCTATGAATGTAAACAATGTGGTAAAGCCTTCAGTTGTTCTAGTTCCTTTCGAATGCATGAAAGGATTCACACTGGAGAGAAACCCTATGAGTGTAAACAATGTGGTAAAGCCTTCATCTGTTCCAGTTCCATTCGAATACATGAAAGGACTCACACTGGTGAGAAACCCTACAAATGTAAACAATGTGGTAAGGCCTTCAGTTGTTCCAGTTCTGTCCGCATGCATGAAAGGACTCACACCGGAGAGAAACCTTATGAATGTAAACAGTGCGATAAAGCTTTCAGTTGCTCCCGTTCCTTTCGAATCCATGAAAGAACTCACACTGGAGAGAAACCCTATGAATGTCGACAGTGTGGTAAAGCCTTCAAGTGTTCCCGTTCCTTTCGAATACATGAAAGAACTCATATTGGAGAGTAACCCTATGAAAGTAAGCAAATGTGGTAAAGCTTTCAGTTTCCCATTTCCTTTTGAAGACATGAAAGGACTCACTGAAGAGAACCCCTATGAACATGAAACATGGGAAAACTTTGAATTGTTTAGGTGTGAGTACCAGAAAAAACTTCCGCTGGACAGAAACCCTATCACCATAAGCAGTGTGGGAAAGCCTTCAGTGATCACACAACCTTTTGAGGACACAGGAAAGTGCATACTGGAGAAAACCCCTAAAAATGTAAAGAATGTGGAAAAGCTTTTCTTGTCCCAGTTTATTTGGAAACCATGAACAAACTCACTGGAGAGCAACTTCTTCATTGTAAGCAGTGTAGGAAAGCCTTTAATTGGCCCACATACTTACAAAACATGAGAACGCACGATGGATCACTCTATAAAAGTGAAAAATAATGGAATGTTTTCAGTTTTAACAAATATTCATGTGAAACTTCAAACTTATGGAAACTCCCATAGGGGAGACATCATATAAATGTAGATAATCTGCGAAAACCTGATGAAAATTAATTGATATACATTGTTTCAGAAAATTTACAAAATGTAGAAATGTTATGTCTTATATGCATATTATCTTTATCAGTTGCTCTTAAAGTATATATTTGGACTATGCATTTGTATTTATTACTTTCACAATGGACACTGAGGTGAGAATTCTGTAAGCCCTCGTTAAGCAATAGTACACAATTTTAATAGGTAGTGTTTTTTCATTAAATCAGTTACTAAATTTTTCTCTTTCCATTTTGAAGTCTGTTGGATTCATGAGTGATTTGAAGTGTATTTTTAATGTGTAAGTAGGTTTAATTTTTATACGGTTTTTAAATTGTTCTGTAAGGGGACATTGAAAAATGATAACTTGGTGGTTGTTGGGATTTTCCTACTGACTTGCCTTGGCAGGTACTAGATATCCTTTACCCATATTTCTTTCTGACTGAAAAAAAGCTTAGTTTTGGGAGGGCAGAGTGGACTTATTCGGTTTTCTGTGCTAGTAAATGCCTGTTATAAATTTGTGTGTGTGCAAATCATGAAGTAGAATCTCATTTGAATTATTTTCATCTTTTGCTCTTTGCTATTTGACTTTTGTTCTGGCTATGATTTGGATAATAGACTTTACATTAAGTGTAGAGATCTGTAGGGGCTGGCTGGTTAGCTCAGTTGGTTAGAGCATGGTGCTGATAACACCACGGTCCAGGGTTTGACCCCTGTACCGGTCAGCTGTCCTAAAAAAGAAAAAGAAAATGAAAAAAAAAGAGAGACCTGTGATAGAACAATATAATCTGTAATTGGAAATGGCTTTCCTAGATTGTGTTAAGGTGGATAATATGTTTTCCACTGTATATCCCTTTATGGTTCCATGTTAGAATTCTCCCATAGCCTACTTGCATGAGATATGAAAGGCAGAAGTGAGGTAGGCATTAAATTTTACAGTGACCATGAGTGGAGACGGATGGATGAGGAGGGTCTTCAGGGACAACTGCTTCCACACCATTTTTCTTGTGCTTTGCCCTGCCAATGAATAGCATTCTCAAAACCATCAGTAACTGCTTGACTGCCATGTTTTTAGAGATGTAGTTTTCCACAGATGTCTTCACAAGTTCCAAAGATCCATCGCAGTTTGGATTTTCTTGCAAACTTTAATGTGTCCATCAGGCCACTAATTTAAACTCTCAAGGTTGGGAATATTCCCTGATGTTCTGACTCACATATCTCTAAGTTAAATTCATCTAATTTCTTAATTTATGTAGTGAGCACCTTGTTCTGTTGATACTGCCAGCAACTATGCCTTTCTGATCCCACTATGACAGCTAAAGTAGTGAAATCAAAAAGAACTACATGCGCGCAGTTTGGATTTTCTTGCAAACTTTAATGTGTCCATCAGGCCACTAATTTAAACTCTCAAGGTTGGGAATATTCCCTGATGTTCTGACTCACATATCTCTAAGTTAAATTCATCTAATTTCTTAATTTATGTAGTGAGCACCTTGTTCTGTTGATACTGCCAGCAACTATGCCTTTCTGATCCCACTATGACAGCTAAAGTAGTGCAATCAAAAAGAACTACATGGGAGTTTGTTCCTGTACTACAGTGTGTGGGGACTACACTGACCCAGTCAATTCTACAGTGTTAGAATAAGCATTTTCCTTATATCAAGCAGGTTGTCAGTGTTTCCTATTGCAGTTGAACATAATCTCTCAGTATGCTTTCAATTATGTTTTATTGTATGTGATTTAAAACAATGTGCATGTTTTTGTCAAACAAAACATAGATGTTTATTCTGTAGATAGTTCTTAGAAATATTTTATCTGTTTTTAAATAGCTTGTATACTATCATTTATTGTCTTTCTCATTCCCTATGAAGATATATTAAATGACTCTATTGCAGTTACAGATTTTCAAATTAAGTTGGTAATTTTGTCAAGTTAATCATGATATTATCTGAGTCAGTATTACCATGTACATACAAGATACTGGGATGTTAAAGTTCTTCAGGGAGAAGTAAAATGAGATAGGATCAGATCCACATGAAGGAAGAGCACTGGAGAAGGAATTAATGGAAGTAAAATAAAAATTTGTTCTTATTCTTAGTTGATCTCAAAGATGACTGTTTAAAGTAACAGTAGTAACAATGTATTAGGTGATTGACATATGGATAAGTGAAATCAGTAACAGCAATATCATAAGGAAGAGAAATTGTTATAAAGTATCTGCATTACATGTCAAGTAGCATAGTATTCTTTGTTTAGGTGGACTTAAATTTGTTGTAATTATATATTGCAAACTCTAGGGCAACAACAACAAAATTTTTTTTTTTTTCTCTTTTGTCTTTTTCCGTGTCCGGCAATGGATCGCAACCCTCAGTGTTGCCCCCATACCGGACCGGGGACCAGCAACGGGATTGCAACCCTCGGCGTTGCTCCCACGCCTCGCTCAGCCAGTGAGCGGGAACCGGTCTGCATGTGGGATCCGAACCCTCGGGCGGGAGCGCTGCCGCGCTTCCCAAGTGGCGCACTTATCCAGTGCGCCACCGGGCCGGCCCTCCTCAGGAAATTTTTATTCTTAATATAGGTACAATTTTTTTCCCATGAAACCAATTTCTCATTCATTTGTAATACTGATTTAATGACTTAAATCATGTTTTTTCAGTGCCCTCTTGCAGCCAGTGACTATCAGGATCATACCTGTAGTCAAAGAGAGGAGCATTAAGAATTCGAACAAGAATGACTAAAAATAGTGACTATGGGGCATATCCTTAAAAGTGTACTCAAAAAGGGCCAGCCCGGTGGCGCACTGGAGAGTGCGCTGCTTGGGAGCATGGCGGCGCTCCTGCCGATGGTTCGGATCCCATGTAGAGACTGGTTCCCGCTCACTGGCTGAGCGCAGTGCGGGCGCAACACTGAGGGTTGCGATCCCGTTACCGGTTAGTAAAAAAGACAAAAAGGAAAAAAAAAGTGTACTCAAAAGGACTTCTTTTTTTTTTTTTTTTTTTAACTTGGGTTTTAATTATGTACATAAACAGCAACATGAGAACGAGGAGTCCTAAGGCTTGTACATTATCTCTAGGTAAAAGGATCTCTGATTAGTCCAATTGTAGTATGGCATCACCCAAGATAACAAAGAAACCTAGAATAGTTTTTCCAGAAGAAGAAAGCCAGTTTACTATAATTAATACTGACTTTTCTGCCATTTTTCTGTAGAAATCCTGATTTACTGTATGGAGTTTCCAAAGTTTACCTATAACTGATTAAAATGGGTAGAGCTTGGAGGTTTTTTTCTACTTATTTCCAGGTGAATTCTTCACATTTCCTGGCTTTTGAAAGTTCTCCTTCCACAAATCTTCTACAACTACGTATCCTTGTAAACCCAAGTCATATAATTTCTCCCCACTGACTGGGCAAATGTGATGGCTTGTTGTGGATAATAGATAGAGGCAGCTAATCCCATGAAACCAGGCGGATAGGCCAGCTTCTTTATTTTTGAACCTCTAGCCAAAAGGAGTCCAACAAGGCCAGCGAAACCAGTAACACCAAGTCTTGGAAAAAATCCAGGAGGTGCATTTTGGAGATATTCATAGCTGTCTAACCCCCATTGAGCGAAACTTTGCATCTTGGGCTTAGTTTTGGAGTATGTTTCCTGACACCAACTTGTATATGGCTTGCAATAATGATGGAGCTCTGAGATGCTTTCTTCAAGTTGGGTCCTTGGCTCCTCCACATATTTAGATTGATCCTTGGGAACTGAGTAGAGTGAAAGCTCATCAACCTTCAGGGAATTGTTGTTAGGTGAATCCTTTTTTTGGTGCTGCATAGACTTTGAAGGTGAACAGGCTGAGGCTGGCCGGCCCCAGGGACCTCTGAATTACCTTGAACATGTCGCTGGCAGTGGCTAAAGGACTTCTTTTTGGATTGAGCTTTTGTTTGGTGATTTGACTGCTACTTAGTGAAGTGAGATGTTTCTCTGTATTGTGTGCTGTGAGGTGAACTTAAATGTGTCATTGGTAATTATAATCTTATCTAGAAGGCAGGAAGAATGGAGTGGAGCTAAACCTAATTCATATGAAACTCCAGTCAGTGGTAAGTAGAGAGCAGTTTTGCTCATTTTTATGGCATGGACTTTGTTCTCTTTTACCATTTTTAGAGACATCATTACAGAATGCCCTTGTTTTTGTCTTGATCCATCATGGTTGCTGAGTAGCTTTGTCTGATGATGGAAGTATGAGACATTTTTCTCTTCAACAGGATAAGATTTGGGCCGGCCCGTGGCTCACTCGGTAGAGTGCGGTGCTGATAACACCAAGGCCACGGGTTCGGATCCTATATAGGGATGGCCGGTTTGCTCACTGGCTGAGCGTGGTGCTGACAACACCAAGCCAAGGGTTGAGATCCCCTTACCGGTCATCTATTGAAAAAAAAAAACAGGATAAGATTTGGCTTTACATGAGTGTGAGGTCAGATTTCAGTTGTGTGTAACTGCTACCTTTCTTATGATCAAAACAGAAATATTCCCTATGGTGTACTGGAAAGTGTTTTCCATAAAATGCCTCAGTTAAAATATGAAACTTTTC